AAAAAAAAAATGGATGCAATCTTCTTAGTAATTTGAAATAAATTTTGTGTAAAATCAACATATTTTTGATGATAAAATTAACTTGGAAAAATGTTATTAACGATTTGTGGTCATTGTCATTCCTATTGTAGGATAAAATCAAATTTTTTTTTTCTAAACTTTAATAGATAAATTCTATCGCTAATAATACGGAACATATCTATTGTGTAAAAATAAAAATATGTGCACATTGTGTTATTTATACACTTTTTCAGATGTTTTAATAATTTAACATTTGAGTTCAATTAATACAAGAGTAATATATTAGATTAACACATAAATTCGTTAAATATTTAACACAAAAATTTTAACAGACATATTTTTTAACAAAAAAACAAATTTTCCAACTGTGTGTTTATAGAGAGAGTTTAGAAACAATAAGTCAAATATCTGAACAAATTCTGATAAGAAGATGTAAACTAATCAGTGTTTTCAACTTATAAAAGCGCATAATAAATATTTTCAATTTTATAATAAAAAATATATTATCAAACACACATATATTTAGAAAATCTAAAATCGTTAAAATAGACAAAGAATATAAAAATAAAATTTTTTAAACTTTCTTTTTATAAGACGTAAGATTAATATTTAAAAATTTTTCTACACCCTAAAAAAGCCATGAGGATACTTATGTCATACATGAAGAGGGACTGGAGTGTAACTGTGGATAAACGAGATCGCAGGATGATGTTAGATATAGCGAAGATCACCCGAAATCTATCGATAAGCAGCACGATAATGGTTCAAATAGTGGTGATTGCCTATGTAGCGTTTCGATTCATCGTCATTCGACATACCGGTCGTCAGTTATTCTTCCGCGCGTATTTTCCTTACAACGCGAGCAGCAGTCCTTGTTACGAATTGACCTTCCTCGGACAATTAATCGCTGGTATGTTTGCGGCAACTACTTACACGGCAGTAGACACTTTCATCGCCACTCTGGTGCTTCATACGTGCGGTCAACTCGCGAATTTACATCGGAAATTAACGAATCTGCGTGCCTGCACGAGAGTGGAGTTCCAGGCTAAGATGAGAAAGATCGTGAGAAAGCACGAATATCTTAACAGGTGAGAAATCAATCGAGTAAAGCGCGATGCAAGAAAGCATAATGAAAGATTATTCGATATTGTCACGACTCCCGAGTTTCTTGACAATTTTCCTAACAAATCTACTTCGATTGATCACCCTCTGGCTTATCCATGAGAAGCATAAATCATAGCGCTCAGCAAATTTACTTACAAGATATATATATATATATGCAGGTAAAAGATTTTTTATCTAAGAAAACTATAACTTTAAACGCGCCAAAAAACTACAATATTTAAAAAATATCTGTCGAATTTTTTTGATATGGTATTCGATTTGTAATATTCCGTCAGATTTGCTTGTGACTAAGCGTTGAGTTACTTCAAGATTTTGGATATTTATGCAAAATAGAGTTTAAAATGAATTTTTATAAACTTCTTCTCACATTATTAAAAAAACTCAAAATTGAGGATACAATTTGTTTGTAAGAAACAAATATAATTTAAAGATAGAATTTTATTAAGGATTCTTATGTTCACACAATGGCATTTTTCATAAGATTTGCAGAAACAATCGAGGACTGTTTCAACACGATGCTTCTAATACAAATGTTAGGATGCTCGTTGCAACTTTGTTTCCAGTGTTTGCAAGCGTTTATGGTGAGCCATACAAAGAAAGGAGAGAAAATCCATATGAAAAAAAGAAAAAAAAGAAAACTAATTGGACTGTCGTCACAATTCTTCGTTATTTTGTAGTCGATGTTTGGCGAAATGAACCAACTCTTCCTTTTTCAAATCATCTTCTTAGTGATATACGTGGTTTACATATTATTGCAGTTGTACCTGTACTGTTACATCGGCGAAAGACTACTTATCGAGGTAACACGACAATCATTGATAATTTTCGATGATGCGTTAACATAATTGATAATTTTTGATCGATGTGTTGATATAAATCCTGATATATTTTGGTAATATATATATTTTTTAAATTATGTCTATATCTTAAATAAAATTCTCGAAGACAAAATTAAATTTTCAGAGAAAGATAAAACCTATTTTATACTGGTAAATATTGTCATCTCAACAGACAATAAAGAATATTTTTAATTCAATAGACATCGAATGAAACAGTAAAGTTCTTTAATAGCATCTTATATTCTTTTTAAAACTTTTTATTCCAAGTACTATTCTAGAAAGCGAAATTGCTTCGTCATGATAATGACCATATTACAGAGATACTGTAGTCATTAACTACACGCTTTCGTATTAAGGCAATCTGCATGACGCCTTGGATGTTAACAAGTGAAACTGAAATACACATTTTTTCTCATTTTTTGCTATTTATTTAATATACTAATTTACTGATCTTTATCTATAAGAATAGTATAAATATACACACAAGTTATAAATGATAAATAAAAACGGACAAGCACATATGTCGAATTTTATTCAAAAAGTAGAAGAAGTTTTACATGTGTTATATAATTGTTTTTTTAAATTGTTTTTCATAAACAACTTTTTTTTTAAATTTAATGATAGATATAATCTATTATTTTATAAAAATATGCATTATAATCGTAGTTTTATTCAAGAACCTTACATAAGAAAAAAATGTACTTATTATTTTAATAACTTATAAGTGACGTACACGATATGAATTGAAAAATCAGAAATTGCGCGTGTGTCCAATAAGATTTTTTATGACATAATGTTTAAGAAATGATACATACGCAAAATGCTAATATCATCGATCGCCTGTCGACAAAGAGAAAAAGAAACTGCAAAAAAATTATTTTGTCCCAAAAAAATTAATACGTGGGCTTTCTGTAAATTTATATATAATTTTCTATGATTTATATGCGATTTAAAATATAAAATACAAGATTTTTAATCGCGTTTTTATATTTAGTACGATGGCTTCTTATTCATTTTGTCGCGATATAACTCATGTTTCTCCTTTGGAATTCCTTGAATTTGACATTCCAGAGCACGAAAATAGCAGACGCGGCGTATGACTGCAGTTGGTACAACTTGTCAGCGTGCGAAGCAAAATTGCTAATAATCATCATGTGTCGTGCTCGGTCGCCATTATACATCACGGCCGGCCGGTTTTGTTCCTTCAACCGAGAACTTTTCAGCGAGGTATAAAACTATAAAACATTGCTATATATATATGCATATTTTTTTATTTTAGTGTTATAAAAAGTTTAAATTTTATTTTATTTCAATATAACGAAAAATACGTATAAGCTTTTTGTCGATAATTGTCGATAATTTTTCCATAAGAAGTATAATCAGAAATGTGAAATGTGTTATAATTTAACAAAATTTCTTTCTCATTAATATCAAAGTCAATTTCGTACGTCAATTTTAGATTCTGAAGAGATCGGTGGCTTATATGTCGTGCCTCTGCACAATGAACAGTTTAGGGTGAGAACTAAATGATTTAATAATGCAGAAAAAGTATCTATATCAATTGTTTAATGAAATTATATCGATTGTAATAGAAACGATATATATATATTTTCGAGACATTTGTAAAATATACATACTTTAATAAAGTAGTATTAGTATAAACTATATATTAATTATAAAAAAATCAATATATATATTATATAACACAATGCAAAAATTCTTTTATATTACAAGACGTTTAAAAATTACCAAAAAAAGAAAAAAAATTTGATAAAAATTATTAAAATTTACAAACAGAATCTAATTTGTACAAAAATTGTAAAAATATAAAAGTTAAATTAAAAAAAAAAAAAACTAGAATATCTTTTCTCTCCTTCAATTCTTCTTTAATTTTCTTTAATTTTTTTCCATTAATTAATTTATAAAAAGCTACAACAGAAATTAAAATAATTTATGTACTAATATCATTGATATATGATTAATTTTATATTTCATAGAAAGAAGATATAATAAGACATCTTTATTGCGTATTTATATGCTTCACATTCTCGCAAATTAATTTTTATGTTCTTTAAATGTGATATAAAAATTCTCCGATTGAGATCTAAATATAATATTATTTTGTATTAAAGCATATACGTCAAAAAAAGTTCTTTTGGGACATAATGTGCATGTATTCTGCAACTTTGCACATGCATAGAAAATTGCAATGAATAAAAAATGTAGTAGGCGATTACGAGAAAAAGAAGAATGAGGGAACGAAACGTGACGAAACGAAGATAGTAGGGGTCGCGGCAACTATTAATGAGAAGTTTTACAGGAGTCGGATCTCACATTAAGTATGCAGTAGAAACTCGGGGAATATGCTTTCCGCGTTTTTTCTTTTTTTCGTCATCTTGTTTTTTCCGCGCGGCGCATATTCGAGCGACTTGATGCTCCACCAAGGAATTGCTCACGCAAGTGCACTTTATCAATACATATTTGATGAGGGAGTCTATAGACTGTATAATTACGACACAATTCACGTTACAAGTTCATCAATTATTCCGCCTACAACTGAAAGATAGTGGTTCCAGCTTGCACGATCGGTCGTGCGTATTTCGAGAATGTACTAAAATAGAGTTTTGAGATACGAAACTTGCGAAAATTCTACTGTCGTAAATAATCGATTGATAATTTGCATTTGCGACATGAAAAAACCTTAGATCCGATCGTTTTATTGCTAGTAGTTTTGCTTATCTCTTTTTTTCATTTTAATTTGATTTTTTCATTTTAATTTGATTTTTTCCACTTTTAAAAAAGGCATACTAAATTGATACTCGCAAGTATTGTTGCTTCTTTTTTGCAATATTAATTGTTTATCTCGACATTGCGCTATACATTAATTTAATAATAAATTACTTCATATCAATAAAAGCTTGTCAAGGCTGAGCCGCGCATTCGATAATTCAAATATTAAGTATGTGTGTATAATTTTAATTTATTTGATTTTGAAAAAACGGGTAACTAGAGTTAAATAATATTTATTAATTGAAAAGATATTTTACATCTTTTTCAAATTTTTGCTTTAATTCATACTTTAATATGTTTCAATGCATATTTAAAAAATCTATTAAAAGTTATATAATTTAATCTATTCTAGCCCATCCATTTTGAGGCAACGGATCTATTTATAATCTACAATCTATATTTATATCTACAATATCTACGAATCCGTTACCTCAAAAGAAAATAAAGTTCATCACTCACCAGCACTGATGCGCAACAGCGGAGTTGTTGGTCTTGTGAGGCTACGTTGTCTGTAACATACAAATATAAAATCCAAATTATAGCAGCGTCTAAAATATAATTAATATTTCGTGTGGAATATTTTATATCCGATGCGTACAATACTAAGAAGCTCTATGTAAATATGAAACAATTTTATAAATTATAAAGACTTCTTTTTCGAATAGAAACTTTTATAGGATTTAAATCTTTCTTTTTAATTTTCTCTTGTTTAATTCATCCAAATAAAGAGACCGAATTAATGCGCGTACGCGATTTTTAACAACTGATGTACAAATAATAAATACTCATCCTAGGGTTGCTCCGCCGATGCAAGATGCCTCTCCTAGGCCTCCTCCTCCTCTCAGGATGTAAGGGTAGCTACGTTGATCTGTAATATACAAATAGAAGATCCAAATTGTAGCGGAGCTCAAAATAATCAATATTTAAAAAAATTTATTATACGCATTGAATTTTATATTCGATGCATATAAAAAGCAGATTAATAAAATAATTTTATAAATTTTGAAAAAAAACACTACTAATATCTCTAATAATTCCATATAAAAGCTATAATTTAAAAATAAAATTTTTACAAAATTATAGCTTTCATATAAAAATCTGTTTCTTAATTCTCTATTGTTTAAATCATACAAATAAAAAATCAAATTACGCGATTAATTGCTCAATTTAAATTGCACATATGCAATTAATAAGTAATTAATATACAAATAACAATTTACTTACCACAGGGTTGCTCC